ATCTTCTTTATACGAAGAGCTCATTAAGTTACGATAAAATAAAGTTAATTTTGCACTGTCGATATTGTTGTTTGAGTTGTTGTTATTGTTATGAATGGAGTTTGCGATAACGAGGTTGTCATTGATTGTGTTGTTATCATTGTCATGATCCACATGGTCATCGTTATTGTCGCTGTTATTGTTGTTGGAGTTGGTAATAGAGTTTGCATCATTGTCACCGACATGATCAGCAACAACGTCGTTGTTTGAGTTGTTTACATTACTGACAAGATTATTGGAAATAACATGGTTGTCGTTGTTGATTAGGTTATCGACAATGACTTGTGCAATAGTAACATGGTTACCATTGTTTTCGTTGTTATTTATGTTATCATTATCATGATCATTGATAATACGTCTATCATTATTGTTCGTGTTATTATCACTTATATTGTCGTCATTGTTGTTTGTGTTGTTTCTTGTGTTGTTGTCAGTGTTGCTTGTGTTGTTATGGCTGTTATGATCGATAGAAACGTGGTTATCATTGTCGGTTACATTGTGATTATAACTTGAGTTGTTTTTAACGTTTTCATTGTTATCATTTACCTTAATATTATTATTTTGAATCTCTCTAATTTCATTGGTCATTATTTTATCTAGTGTTGAATTGTTAAAATTATTGTTGACAAGGAATTGTTTTATTTTATCGAGTTCTTTACGAAATTCAAGTGGTATTAAATTGCCTGAAGATGAATTATAAAATTCGAAACGTCGCTTAACAAATAATTATATAATGAATATTGGTGTTCTAATTTTTAATTTAAATTATAATTATAAAAAACTAATAAGAAAAATAGAAAATCTTAATAAAAAATTAAATAACAATAATATAAGCATCGCGTGTAATGAAATATGCTTAAATGAAAATTTGTTACCGAAATTTACTGATATATATATATATATATATATATATATATATATATATATATATATATATTTGTATAGAAGACAACTTACCTTTATTTACATTTCTTATCAAAAAAAAACTTTATGTATTATTTATATTTTTTAAATAATTTGATATGATTTTGACAGATAAATATATTTACATTTTTACAGAAAATGATTTGATAATGGAATGCAGGAAAACGTGGCACGAAACCCACGACCCTTCAAAAGCCTTACAAGCTCTTAAAAACTTTTCATGTATTGAAAGGAAACTTCTCGAAGGTTTATGCAGACACACTCCAAAAAATTCTGTTGCAGCTTTGTCATATGTAAATAATTTTTTTGTATAAATTAATGATGATAACATTTTTGAATTTTGACAATCAAATTAATATTTCTACAATAGATTCCAAGAAACATGAGGCTGATGTATCTACATGCCTATCAAAGTCTCATATGGAATAAAATTGTTTCAAAAAGATTTCAGACGCTCAAATCAGAAGTTCTGATTGGCGATTTGTTTCAATCTTCTGATGACAAATCCGGTGAGTAAATGATTTCACAGATTTTTTATGATAATGGGAGGTTTTCATTTCTCACTTTTTAATTTCAGTTGCGTTGCAGTGAAGCGTTTCAGTGAGCAACATAGATAGCTTAGTGCATGAGGGGGTCAGGGAAATTGTAAATTAACTATTCGTAAGAATCGATTTTGTTTGGTTCAATTCGTCAAGAGAAAATTTATTTGTGATATTGAAAAGTTGTTTCTGGAGCTTTTTTGTTGAACGAGTTGAATGTTGCATGATTGATAACTTCATTGATTGAAAAATACAAAAAAATTATCTCACGCTCATAAATCTCCAGTTCATCTGCTGACCTTTTGATGAAAAACTTTTGCAGTTATACCATTTATTATAGTTTAAAAGCCTTTCCTTTTTTCCGCATGTTTGATTCTTGTTATTAAATTTTAATTAATATTTGAATCTTTAAACTAATGTTAAAAAACGCTAATAAATCCTTCAAAAGAAATTGAAAGCATGTTTTGTGCCTCAATTTGCCGCATTTTTATTATTCATTTAAGCGAGTCATGCATGTTGGGGTTATTTGTTACAAACTTTTGTGCGACAAATTTACCACATTTGTACTAATAGAATTGTGTCATTTCCAAACATGCTGTTAATTGATGGCTGCGTTGTCCGTGGTAACGTGTGAAATTACATCAATTAAAGCAGACCGGATTCTCGCAAACCAGGATATTTTGGTTTCAGCAGTGAAATTAAACGTTTAATCCGGGTTGTTGCTACTCAATGCCGTTAAATTTCATGGCGCTGCATGGCATTTGTAAACAAGTTTCGTCAAAACAAATCATTTGCGCAATGAATATACTTGCTGTGATTTCTCTGCTAGTTCTATCAGATCCCACCTTACACCGCTGTTTCAACGTTTTTATTACATTTCATTTCACTTTTTTCATTCATCAATATTTTCACTAAACCAATTTCAACATTTATTACTAATTTTGACAAGGTAGGTTCCAACTCATCGCTACTAACCTTATGGCACTCTTGATATATAAATATTATTATCACTTGAAGGACATCTCAATTAAAATCGTTTCTAGAGTTTTCTTCAATGACTTTATAATAACTTCTTGAGAATTAAACGCTTTATTTTTTAAAAATTTCTTCCATGTCCTGCTTAAAGTTGCTTATTACGCACTATTAGACATTAAGCAATTCGTTCATGAACCGTTTGACGGCGATGAATGACCTACAGTCGGCCATGATTCGTTCTTCATTACGTACACACACAATGTGAACTTTTTATTATTCTAAATTTCATTTCTGTAGTCCAGCATAGAAACTTCTTGGTCCTCATTATCTTCTTCCTTTGATGTTATCTTGTTTTTGATTATAGAATAAAATATTTAGCGTATCAGCTCTTGAAATGCAACGTCTTCGGTTGAATGGTTGAAGGTTAAAGATCTCTCGTGTGCACCTGCTTCAGAGGTTTGAAAGACATGAAAAAAATTTTCGAACCAAGTCATTGCAACGGCCTTTAGCCATTACGCCATCACCCGCCCATGTTCTCATGTTTTTGTTCTGCTGTCGTCATCAATCATTGATTGTTGAACGAGGTATCTATCTACTATTCTAATTCTCACTTTTAGTTTACACGGCCACAAAACTAAACTTCTATAATTTTTGAAGAATTAAAACTTTATAAGCAAAAGGGTTTAAAATTTGTATTGAATGACAAAAATTTATGTGGTATATAAAATTGGATAATAAAATATTTAAATAGATTTTCATCATTATTTTATTTTTATTTTAATCTGTTTATTCAAATATTTTAGTTTCTGTGGTGTCAGAAGAAAACATTGGTTACGTCAAATTAACAGACGTCGTCTTGCCGCTTCCTGGTTTCGATGTGAAATATCCTGATAACGAAATTAAAATTTGGTACGATGAACTTCTTTCTTCCGATGGTCTTCACGTCAATAGTTTCAACCATAAAATCAGGTTCTTCAAAAGCTGTTTTACATATTTTGCTTTAATTTTAAGATGCTATTGAACTTGAATATTCTTTCTGTGGTCTGCATTGGTTGTCTGTGGAAAAATTATACCTATAAAGAATTGAAATAAACTTCCAAAATGCAGTTTTAAAACTTTAAAAAATATTTTATTAAATTAAATTTTTTTAAAGTAACTGAATTATTTGATGAAATTAAAATGTTACCTGAAAATATCAAAAAATATTAAAAATAAATTTAAATATACATTAAAAATAAACATCAAAATTGAATAAGATTTTAGAAAATAAAACCAATCTATCTCTAAAAATTAAAGGTAAACATTTTAAAAATTGCATTAAGTTTCCTATTCTGATCCGGAGACTTTGGACATGCGACTTTTGCTCTCGCTGTGGGCTCGTAGACCAGGATTGGTCTGTCTATACACATATGTCATAAGCAACCTGAGACACGATTTTGAGATCATAATCGCTCAACATGTCCACTAGTGTGTATGTACTGGGCTTAACAGTGATAGCCTCGACAGTCTAGAATTCAGTTGAAATCACGTCAGAAAAAGTATTTTTTTAGGATTGCTGAGAAGTGGATAATAATAATTGTAATAATAAATTAAATTCAAGTAATTGCTGATTGTTTTGCTATATCCAGTCTAATAAATGACTTTTGAATTTTCGTACTACTCCAAAATATGAATTTATATTTTTTATATTATGGCAAACATTATTTGACCATTCATTTACGTCCGTCTGTCTGTCATAAACATGGACATTCCCGAAGCGATGTACAGAACCGTGTGTGCCCCCGCACATGTTTGTATGTATGTGTGTGTGTGCTTGTGTGTGTGTGTTTGTGTGTGTGTGTGTGTGTATGTCTGTATGTAATGTATGTATGTCTATATGTATGAGGGAGCTACAATCAATCTCTGGTTTCAACGTTAATTTACGTTATTGATTTTCACACAGACAAATATTTTGTTTCTCCATCTAAAATACAAAAAGAATTGAATTTTTTGGAGTAAAACAGAAATAAATTGTTTTGTGTATTTTCTATCACCCAGATTACCGATTATATATACTCTTATGCCATTTAAATACGATTTGTTTATTTTGTTGGTGGGGCCAAATGTCTTTATACAAATTATTATTATTATTGTTGTTATTGTTATTATTATTATTATGAGTGTATTTTTAAGCGCCCTTTTAAATTTAAAGCATTATTCAACAATTCAACAGCGACATCAACATAAGTTATGTCAAATGGCCCGCTAACATGAACGGCCAACCATTTACTTTTTTTGTGACATCGTCTCTTAATCCTTACATTTGATTTTGATTTAAAGCAATTTTGCATACCTAAACTCGTAATACCTACTTTTTGAAATCTAACTAAAGTTTATTTTTTATTTAAAAAGAGATTATTCGCTATCTGGGAGTTACCGAAAGATAATCGTAATTCCCGACGTTTGCAACTGGCGCATTCTAAATTACCAAAATGCGGAGAATTCGCTAATAATTACGGATAAAGATGTAATGGAAGGATTCTCTAGTTCCGTTGAGAACGAAGGTTGGTTAATGTTTATAATATTCAATTATCCATATGAGATTCATTTAAAGTTTAAATTAATTTATTATAGGTGTTAACAAAGCTTTAAAGCTCGAGTTGAGTTTGCCAGCGTCATCTTATGCAACGATGGCAATTAGAGAAATAACTAAACAAGACACTTCTTCTGCTAATCAGACTCTTCTAACTAGAAATTTGGATGAATTTAATAAATGATACACACATCCTTTCCACTGTTAAAGTCTCTTGGTCGACTATTACGTAACACAAAAAATAATTTCCCGCCCCCATCGCTTTCGTAACAGACGACACCTCTCCAACCGTTTTCTTTCGTATTAAACAGTTTTCCTTTAAAAGTCGCGTATGCATATTTATTTTATCCATAAAACTCTTTAGTCTTAACAACATTCTTTTTTTTCGGGTTTTTGTAATTGATTTTTTTTCAATAATAATTAAAGACAACAACAGCAACACACGTTTAGACGACATTTTCCCCGAGATCGGGGGTTGCCGTTTAGCTACCTATGATGAAACCGAAATACCCCTCGACGCTATTCACATCTGTCACTCGCCTCAATATCACGCAACCCCACTTTCACTCTGTCCTTCTTCACCTGCTCTCTCCATCCCAATCGCGGACGGCCCCTTCCTATCACTCCTTCAACCTCGAACTCCAACGCTCGCCTAATCCCGACCCTTTCATTTCTTCTCAACACATGTCCATACCACCGCAATCTCGATCTCCTTATCAATGTCACAATGTCCTCATTCAGTCCCATCATCGACATCAGCTCTGTACTACTCCATCCTTCACTTTAACCCCACACATCATCCTCACCATAGCTCTTTCAGCCCTCTGCAGTACACTTTCCTCCTCTCTCCTCAACACCAAAGTTTCACCACCATATACCATCGCTGCTCTCACACATGCTTTATATACCCTCCCTTTCATCTTCACTGACCATTTCTTTCCACACAATACCCAACCCAGTTTCCTAAATTTCATCCATCCCACACAAACTCTTGCCGTAACAGCGTTCAAACATCCTCCATCCGCGTTCAGCTTAACCCCTAAATAAACAAAGCTTTCCACTCTTTCAATACCATCACTCAACCCCGTCCTTGCGTCCGTCCTATTAATCACACCATGATCACATTTCTTACATTTGAACGTGCCTTCAACCTTTTTCTGTGCCCCCCTCACACCACTACATCTCTTATGCACCCACTTCTGACATCTTATACACAATACCGAGTTAGCCCTAATTAAAGACAGTTATTTTTTAATAATAATAATAATAATTATATATTATTACCGTTAACTTTTAACCTCCTACCCTTAAACCGCACTTATTTTTTGCCGAGACATAGGTTTACTTTTATGATCTTTATTAATGAATTTTCACTTGTGTGGTTTTTTCTTTAAATTTGATCCTACTTTTCAAACAATCCAGTAATTTTTTAATCCGTAAGCTACACAAAAATTTATCAATTTTATTCACAATGATAAATTAAACTTTAATGATATATTTCTATAAACCTTTTATTTTTTTTCTGTAAAGATTTGTCACGTAAATCTCGAATATCTCCCCATCCTGCTGTAACACTCTATACACAATCTTGAACCCCACCTAGCAGAGTTATGCAATATTCGAATGGCCTCTTAACATATCTAGAGTGCACGGGAATAATGAAAGGTGTGCGTAAAAGTGGACAAATTAAAAATAGTTCAAATGATTGAACTAGAGTCAGTTGCTAAACAGGACGACGGTTGTGAGCACCATTTTTTAAAAATGATAGCCGGCACACTGCTATGATAATATTTTTTGCCACTATTATACGTTTATCATTTTACGATAACCGAGAAGCGTTTGAATTATTATTTGAATTATTATACAATAGTGAAACTGCAATCGATATTCGTTTGCCATTTGATAATTTCTTTCATCAAATGTAACGAACGTGTCACCAATGCCTTTCCTGCTCGCAAGTAAGCTTGTTATTGAAGAATGCGTTAGGGCAACTCTAGAAAAAAATTTAGTGGAGAAAACAGGTTTCACCGAATAAATACGAGAAGGACGATGATTTGGCAGAAGACGTTCCCTGTGTAACTTGTAATTTTATTTCTTTTTTTGCAGCAAACACAGTTGATGAAATTAGCAAAGGAATAATTTCTTTACCACTAGCGTACCTCAGGATTTTGACAACTACCATTAGATCTTGGAATGCTTCACAAAAGCGCATTTAGAGCATCAGATACTTTATCTTCTCTTTTCATTTCTTTCCACACAACTAAAAATGATTAACAGATCAATTATGATTATTTCGTATTAAAGAATTATTAAAGAATATTAAAGTATTTTTTTTGGGGTTTCAGGAAGTAAAAAGGAATAATCGAAAAATATTTCTTTTTAGAAGTGAATTGTCTAAAGCATTATTTAATTCTAGAAGAAAAGTGTTTTTTACGCATTAAAAAAGTGTCTAAAGCATTATTTAATTCTAGAAGAAAAGTGTTTTTTACGCATTAAATAAAATTAAAAAGCATCATTTAATTAGGTCGATATGAACTTAACTTCTATTCCCGGCAACGACAAATGTGCTGATTGTTGTGAGCCAGGTTAGTTTAAAAAAATTGATAAGTTTGTTTTTATTCTTCAATTCATGACTATTATCTTATCAATGAGTGAGACTATGTTTTGTTTTGTGCTTTTTTCAAATTTTTTATTTTTAAATATTAAGGTATTTCTGATATAATGATAAAATAATATTAATAATACAAAATATTCATCTTTTTTTACTTTTTACGTTATCATCTGGACATTAAAATTGATATTGGTTAATGGAAAAATAATGAGGGATGCCCTGATTTCTGATTTACTACATCATATTGTTGAAATGAAGGGTGCTATAATAATCCACATAGTGATAATCAGTTAATAATATATAATAAAAATTAATCTTATTAGTTTATCAGAAATGATGGTTTTTTTATTTATAGATAATTAAATTAAGTATTATGTGATTAAAATTACTCAGAATCAGTTATTATTGTGATAAAATAATAATAATAATAATCACAATGTATTAAAAATTGAATTAATCCTTTTCAATTAAAAACTTATCTTTTTTTATTCCTCTGTCTCTACTTTTTTTTCATATATATTTTTGTATATATGTATATATATATATATATATATATATATATATGTATATGTATATATAATCTTTTTAAACTTATCTTTCTCCTCGGTCTCTATTTTTTTTTCATATATATTGTATATATATATATAAATATATATATATATATAAAAATATATATATATATAAATGACTAAATATATCTCTCCTGCTATGCTGCTTTCAATAAAAATGGAGTCTGACCTGATGATTCTCAGCTATTTATTCGAAATTTCAAATCATTTAGATTGTGTATTGATACCTAATAATCAGATATAATTCATAGCCTTAATAGAGTATATTTAGGCAAGGAAAAGTGCATTCAACAACACTATTAAGCATAAAATAAAGTAACTGTTTTTTTTACTTTTAATGAATATCTCTGTCACAATATGCATAAAATTGCTAAGTTTGTGTTTGTTGTATATATTGTTATATTTTATATTAAAGTCTATTTTTTTTACATTAGCAAATTGTAGCGAGGCTCAATAAATAATATCTGATTAACTTCATTATGCCAATTTTATGTGATTTTAATTAGCTGTTCCCATTTTTAAGTTAAAAAACAAAGTTAATTCATTTAATCTGTAAAATCACAATTTTTTGAATTGTTAAGATTTTAATTTACTTTTTCTAATTTTCTGCTTTATAAATAAAATTTTGGTTCAAATCTTTTCTTTTCGTCATTTTGAAGATTCGTAAAGCATTCTTTTTTAACTTAGCTGCTAATTGAGCGGAAAGCTAGGCCCACCGCTTATAACTGGTGGTTGTCGTCAGGATGGGTGTCCGGATGTAAAAACTTTTCCCCAAATTATTCCTATGCCATCACAAAGAAAAACAACGGCCCCTAGTCTCCAGCAGGCCTTAAGTGGTCAAGAGGTGCCAAGAATAGCGGAGGGATGTTGCATAAAAATTCAGAATGGCCCCTCTATGGTACTTAGACTTGGAACGCTCAATGTTGGATCACTGACTGGCCGCAGCATGGAAATCGCAGAAATGCTCGAGCGTAGAAGGATTAACATCTGCTGCCTTCAGGAAATCCGATGGAAATCGAATGGTGTCTGTCATGTCAACTCAGACAAAGAAAAATATAAACTATTCTGGAATGGTCAAAAGACGGCCAAAAATGGTGTTGGAATTTTTGTCAGAGAACCGCTAGCCCAAGAAGTACTGGATATTAAAAGGATTAATTCACGTCTCATGTGAATCAAGCTTCGCATAGAAAAGCAAACAATGATTATTTTTTTCTGCATACGCACCACAGACAGGCGAATCAGAAGAGATGAAAAATGAATTCTGGTCTGCATTCTCTGACACCATCTCAACAATACCAAAATCTGAAACAATCCTGATTGTAGGCGATCTCAATGGCCACGTTGGAGAGAAAACAGATGGTTTTGACAACGTACATGGCGGTTTTGGCTATGGAAAACGGAATGAAGATGGCAACCACATCTTTGAGTTTGCTGAAAGTCACGGGTTTTGTTTACTGAACACATATTTTAGAAAGAGGTTGGAACATCTTATAACATACAAAAGTGGGCCATCAGCCACGCAAATTGATTTCTTTGCTGTCAAGCAACCACACCGAAGGCTGTTTAAAAACGTCAAAGTTATACCAGGCGAATCATGTGTCGCCCAACATAGTCTCCTTGTGGCAGACCTGGTTGTCGAACTGTCAAAACATAAGTCTAAACAAATGCCTCGGAGAATCAAAACGTGGAAGCTGAAAAGCAATATTCATCGAGAAAAATTTCAACAGATTGTCGCCACACAGTTAGACCACCAATCGCTAGCCAGTACAGATTGGAGTACATACAAAACCGTTTTGATGAACGCTGCAACCACAGTTTTTGGGAAAACTGGTACAAAACGTCAGCATGAACGTGACACTTGGTGGTGGAATGACAGTGTACAAAATGCAATAGCTGAAAAGAAAGTTGCATACATGCAATGGCAAAAATCAAAGTCTGTAGATGACCATAAAATTTTCCGTAAGAAGAACAACTATGCAAAACGTCAAGTTGCACTGGCTCGGA